GCCGCTAGCTACTAGCTAGTAGCTTAAGTACGCTACTACCAACAAGACGGATAGTTCACGCTGCAAGGAAGCTGCTCCTAGTTTAGGGAAACTAAAAGCGATCGCTTTGTCCACTTCGTTCTCCACTTCGCTTTTTCCTAACTTCCAAGGTGAACTTCCGCGCACCAGGCTACGGTGCTTGAAGCACAGATGAACGAGACAAAAGGAAGACGACATCGCAATACAGAGTGGCATGTTTCAGCATCATGCATCTCAGCTTTTGCTTCCAAAGGGGTTCCTAAAGTCGATCCATGTTTGGCAGTCATTGAGGTTTGGTTGGTCAGTGGTGGGCGTGTGGAAAAGCTCGGGCCACAGGGGGCGGCATTGGGTGTTCCAAGACAACGGATTTGCGCAACGTGACACAGCATGAAGAAGAGTTGTTTTACGCATACGCATCTAATATATTAAAACAACACTTTAGGCATTGTCATTTCATTCCAGTTTGTTCATTTCTTGTATTTGTTGGAAACATGAAACAGTGCCAGTGCCAGGTTGCAAGCGGCGCCAGCTGCCTTTGCACCTGAGGTTGTGCTAGCCCAAGCCAGCAGAAAAACTGTCAGCAAAGCGATGGCAATGGCGTGTGGCTTCCAATCTACTAGCTTCGTGCTACTAGTAGAAACGCCCTTTGCTCCTAGTAGTACAGCCAGGAGCCCCGTTCGTAACGTCTTCTTGTTCCGAGTAGCGAAGCCCTTTGCTCCGAGCGAGAAGTGTGGCCACCAAACGTCGAAGCTTGTCAGGTGTCCGTCACGAGGACCTCGGTGTCTCTTTCATGGAAGCCTGCGTCCACCAGTGTGAAAGGCAGACCGTCTCGTCAGCGAGAGAGGCGGCTTGTTCCAAACTGTGCAGGTTATCGGCTCTTCAGGAACGGGAAACAGGCGGAAAGTAAGGATTGTTTATTGTTTCTAATAGCTTCTTTGTTACTACTAGTAAGGCACTTGTTACTAGTAGCGATGCACTTGTTCCTAGTAGCGATGCACTTGTTCCTAGTAGCTTAATATTGTTTGAACGTTAAAAGACTCTTCGATTCTTTGCCTCAAGCTGCTGAGAGGTCGCCACACTCGCAGGTGGTGTGCAAAAGCTCAGTCAGGGTGTCTTTGGGAGGTGAAGTTGAAGGTGTGTTCTTGAAAGACTTACTGTTTTATATGTGTTTTTTGCTCGTGGAATCAGGTGTTGCAATATGTCGACACGAGCCTCTATGCAGCTCACCAATACTCCTTCACCTTGGCAGCAGTGAGCACACAAGGCGCAGCATCGGCCCTCGTTTGTCATGTCAAGTTTCCCAAAAAATCTCGAAACCAAATCAATAGTGCGTGAGCTATCCTTCCACGTCCACTTACTAGCTACCTCTAGCCAGCTAGCTCCTCCTAGCTACTAGCTACCTAGCCTCTACTCACGTCCTACCCCTCCCCCACACACAAAAAAAAGACTATCTTTCCCCTTTTTCGTTGTTTCCGAAAAAGCTACTAGGGGCTCCTGGCCTTACTAGTAGCATGGACGCTACTAGGAACAAGCCATCGCTACTAGCAATGTTTGCTACTAGCTTATTGTTACTAATAGCTTCTTTGTTACTACTAGTAAGGCACTTGTTTCTAGTAGCGATGCCCTTGTTCCTAGTAGCATACTTGTTTGCTACATTTATTTGTTGCCTTTTTTTCGTTTTCTGAGGCGTCCTCGGCCCTCAAAGCGAAGCGGCCCTGGCCACCACGGCCCCAGCAGGCGCTCGGTCGCTCGGACTCCGCCCAGCGGGGCACCGAGAGGGAGAACGACCGGTTGGAAGATGGCCTCCAACCTGTTATTTAACATATGTCACTATTATGTGTTTCCTGTTTTGTCATATTAGTATTTTAATGTTGGTATGCTACTTTTTCTTAGATGTTCTTAGGTATGGACGTGAAAACTCCCCGCGATGTGAGCGAGAGAACACACTTGTACGCTGATGTTCATTTTAAGAAGCAAACAGGAGCCCGCTCTTAGGTTGGAGGTCATTGCTATTAGATCTTTGCGTGTTTTGCTTTTTTACCTTGTTTTAGATGGCGTTCACATCGCGGGGAGTTCTTATGTGCATTGTAAGATGCAGCAGCGATCCTGCCAACACATCCAGGCAAGGTCCTACAAGCAGAAGCAAACAGCAGCAACAGTGCCAAATACCACAAACAGGACATACAGAACTGCAGAACAATAGCTGGAACTGTATCAACAGGACCAGCACAATAGGAAAGGATCATAGAATGAATATGTTATGGACTACCATGAAGAGTTTGTACAGATATCACAACATGCAGAACGAGCAATGATTGGACTTGATGGAAGGGTCCACAAAAGAAGAAAGTGACAAGTGCAAAAAATGAAAAAAAGAAACAAATAAATGTATATTGTTACAAATAGCTTCTTAGTTACTACTAGTAAGGCACTTGTTACTAGTAGCGATGCACTTGTTACTAATATAAATGAAAGTGCCAAGCCGCGGCACTTCGGCACGATCAACCGAAGGTGCCAATGGAAACAAGTAAAGGGCTACAACAGAGGACGCTACTAGGAACAAGGGCATCGCTACTAGGAGCAAGGACGCTACTAGGGGCTGCTGGCCTTGCTACATGGAACAAAGAAGGTAGTAGAAACAATAAGGTGAATTAGAATTTAATTAGAATTGGACCAAGAAAAGAACATTACAAAAAGTTGATTCTGTCCCTTGTTGCGATAGCCTCCAACCTAGAAGCGATGGCCTCCAACCTAGTAGTCATGGCCTAGCGATGGGCTCCAGCCTAGTGGCCATGGCCTAGCGATGGGCTCCAACCTAGAAGCGATGTGATGTCGGGTTTTTCTTGTTTTTAGCGCGTTTTGTACCGCTTCGGCCTTCCAGGCAGACTGCGCAGCCAGTTTAAAGAACCCTTTACAAGAACAAACTGCAGCTTACATCCTCGGGGAAATCGATGTTTTTGGTGTCAGCTTTCTCACGTTCTCAGGTTTCTGGTTTGTCTTTCATTTGGAAGCAAAAAGGAAGTCGAAATCGATCTTTCCAACACTTGACATTCAAGTTCACAAGGGAGATGTTATTTGTTCCACTTTATGACGTTTGTCACTCATATGTTGTGAGTCACTGGTCACGCATCGAAGTGTAGGCAAGCCTGGTGCGCCGAGTGCTTTGCGTGTGGCTCTCTCTTCGGGCAAGGCATCGAAGCGTCGAAATAGAAGCAGTAAACAAGTGCCTTACTAGTAGTAACAAGTGCCTTACTAGTAATGTTTGCTTTTAAAATTAAGTTAAATTTACTAATAATAAGAATTACTAATTAAGTTAAATTAATTATTAGAATTACTAATAAGGCAAATTTCGACGAGTCGATGTGCTACTAGCGCGTGGCACTTGTTACTACTAGCGATGCACTTGTTCCTATGATTTCCTTTGTTCCAAATAGCAAACATTGCTCCTAGTAGAAAGGCCAGGAGTGTCCTTGCTCCTAGTAGCGATGCCCTTTGTTCCTAGTAGTAAACTATTTTTTCATGATTTTTCAGTTTGCATCTTGTAGCTTTTGACAGAATGCAGTTTTGCTCTCAGGGTGTGACGCTCGAATGGACTCAACCAGAGGAGAGAGCAAATTCAGCGGAGAAAACAAATCATGACGCTCGATAATACTCATCATACTCGTGTGCGTTCATCGAAAGGCAGCTGCTCTTGAGTTGGACGAACTATTGAAACGCTAAAAGGAAGGAAGAAATAGTTGTGTTTCTTCTCGATACAAAAACCTTGGAGATGAAGAGCAAAAGTGGATAGAGTTTGAAGTAAGACGCAGGCAACTTGTTCCAACTCCGCGTCCTTTTTTCGACTCCAAGAATCCACCTGCTCACAGCGTGGTCTGGGTTTGGGAACACGGTTTCATGGCCGAATAGAGGCAAGAGTCGCATCTCCTTGTGGCCTCCAACCTAGCAAACTATATCAGACCCTTCTTTTTTTCGTGTCCAATAGCGATGGCCTCCATCCTCAGCTGTTCATGAGGTTGACGTTGCCTACCAGAAGCTTTATTCAATACTGGGCTACCTTTGGTTGGCTCATCTTTACCGTGGCTACCATGGTTCCATTTTGTCTTGAGGGGTCCCCCTCCTTGCCATCATAAGACCTCATGTTTTCAAGGTGAAATCCTCTAACCTCAAAAAAGGTGTGTTTTTTCTTTCACAAAGAGGAGCCCCTAGTATGTTTACATATGTTTACTCTGTATGTGAGAAACCATCTTCAACAAAACCTTGCGCGCAAAGGCGGTCGGTCGATGTATACTTCTTGGTTACCACCTAAGGGCTTTCAGTGGTTTTCAGACTTCGCTGAGTTCATTTCATGGAACTTGTGGACACCAATGCGACCAATGGACACCAATGCACAAAAAGAACCATCCGACGTGCCTAAAATGCTACGGCTCCGCTCCTGGCCGTACGAACGGAGCGGATCGGTTTACTACTTATTGTTTCTAATAGCTTCTTGTTACTACTAGTAAGGCACTTGTTCCTAGAAGCGATGCACTCGTTTCTAGTAGCTTCAAGAGGTGCTTCCGATCGCATCCAAATAGAAAACGGTCCCGTCCCAAAGCCAGGACCACGGTGGAGCACCGGTGACGGCCTATGTCGTCTATCGAGACGGAGAGAAGATGGCCACGGTGCTCAACGAGAAGATGGAGATCACATGGACCGGGAATTGAAAGACGTCGGTTGAAATCGGTAGCGATGCCCTTTGCTCCTAGTAACGTCCTTGCTCCTAGTAGCGATGCCAGGAGCCCCTAGTAGCGTCTTGTTTCTACGTCGGTTGAGATCGAATTGTTGTTTGGTTAGGTAAATAGACGTTTTCATGTGCAGAGCATGTTTTTGTGAAAAGCTTCGTACCAGGAAGGATTCGAACGTCACTCGCGGTGGTTCTTACAGTGTCTTGCAGAAACTAAGTGAAGCCACTTGAGACAAGCAGACTTGAACTGTGGCCCTTTATGGTCCGAGGCTATTCAGTGATTGCCTGCCACCTGCCGCCTGCGGAAGAGCAGGAGAGATGAGAGTCCGAGTCTCGTCCGAGTCCCGCTCGGACCTTCGGCAGAAAGGACCTTCGGCAGAAAGTGCTCAAGGAACGAGAGGCCGAACTCAAGAGTTGAAGCTACTAGTAACAAGTGCCTAATTTAGTTTAATTCTAATTAAACGTAGAATTACTACTTATTGTTTCTAATAGCTTCTTGTTACTACTAGTAAGGCACTTTTTACTAGAAGCGATGCACTTGTTTCTAGTAGCTTCAAGAGGTGCATACGTCGGAAATTCCAAAGTAAGAAAAGTGGAAAGACGTACAGCAAAGGCGGCAGTCATGGATTGAATTTGCCACTGGGGGCTCCTGGCATTGCTACTAGGAGCAAAGGACGCTTAATGCAATGGATTAAACAGTCTTAGGAAGCTACTAGGAACAAGTGCATCGCTACTAGTAACAAGTGCCTTACTAGTAGTAACAAGAAGCTATTAGAATTAAATAGAATTCTTTGAGTCAAAAGCTCGTCCTGCCAGGCAGCTGCACCACCTGAGGAGGATCGAGACATTCTGCTAAATATCCCTGAGGAGCATTCTCAGAGCGAACCTGTTTCGGGAACGTTTCGGGAGTACGTGAGGAAAAAAGAAGACATGCAAATGTGACAGTGTGAGATGTTATGTGGAAGAAAGTCGTCAATTTTGGAGTTTGGTTTTTGTTTAGACTCTCTTTCAGAAAGGGTGTTCTTTTTGTAAGTGTGTGTTTTTTGCTAATATCAACTCGACAGATCTAGGTCAGAGATGCTGAGTTTATTTTTGTTTTCAGATGTATATGCTTTGTGCAATGCACTTTTTTGCACATGTCAATATGCATGTGTATAGAATCACCTCCTTTTAAAAAGGAGTTTAGTACCGATGTATGCGTTAGAGGGACGCTGCTAGGGGCTCCTGGCCTTACTACTAGGAGCAAGAAGCTACTAGTAACAAGTACGCATCGCTTCTAGTAACAAGTGCCTTACTAGTAGTAACAAGAACGCTACTAGGGGCTCCTGGCCTTACTACTAGGAGCTGAACATGAGTGAAGCAGCTGGGCCTGTGGAGACGACGGCAGTGGACGAGTTGGAGGCCGTCGCTTCGACTCTGTCGAGATGAAAACCGAGGTCGTTTTGAAAAAGAAAAGTTTCTTGCTACTCCTAGGTGAGGCACCTTGATACTAGATGTTAGTAGCTAACACACACAAATAGCATTTTCCGTTTTACGTGTTCTTTTCGACTTCGTTTCGTCAGCTTCCACGTTCTAAACGATTCTAATAAGACATGGCTGGTGAAGCGACGGCGAACAGGTTGGACCTTGCAAAGAGAGTCTACGTGATCAGCTGGCGGAGGTCGAGTCAAGTCGTCAAGTCGTTCACCTTTCGAGATTGAAGATAGATGAAGAATTGTTGTTTTTTTGGAGCCCGCTCCCCCCCTCCCTACATAATTAAGGAAGAAGCTAATAATTAGCTACAAGAACACTACTACCAACAGGACGCAGGATAGCTCACGCTTCTTCAAGGAAGCTCCCCCCGCCCTCCTCAAGGCGGCGGGGGAAGCTTCCTAAGAAGCGCTCGCACTATTGATTTGGTTTCTGCATTTTTAGGGAAACTTAACTAGTAACAAGAAGCTACTAGGGGCTCCTGGCATCACTACTCGGAGCAAGGACGCTACTAGGGCCCTAGGGGCTCCTGGCCTTACTACTAGGAGCAAGGAGCTACTAGGGGGCTCCTGGATTTACTACTAGGAACAAGAAGCTACTAGGGGCTCCTGGCTACAAAGGGCATTTTTAGCGAAACTTAACTTGTGCACCCACAGGGCCAGGGAATCACCGTCTTCTACCAGTCCTGCTGGGGCCGCACCTATGCGCACTGCTGCTCGCATCAGGATGCATGTCACGACTGTGGGGAAACTGGACAGACACAATGTCGATAGGAACATAGGAATGGCCTCGAACCCTCCAACCGAGCGATGGCCTCCACGATAAAGAATGTTAAAGATATGAAAATAAAGATATATGTAAATTCTTGTGCCCTGAACAAAGAGAAGATCCCTTTCCTTTTTGTCCCGACCACCGACCACCGCACCGACGTACTTTGAGACATCATTTGCAACGGCTCTGACTTCTTCGTATTTTGATTGGACACGAGGGCAACGCAAAGCGACAAAGTACACATGTTAAATGGCATTGGTGTAACACTGTTTAATGGCTTCTAGCTACTAGTAGCAATGCTCTTGTTAATAGTAGCTGAGTCATGAAATATGGCGGCTTGATGTAGCTTATGGAGAGCACATTCGCACGTCGACCATCCTCGTACAGAGAAAGATGTTTGCACCAGAGCGCAGGAGCAAGCAACTTGCCGATGTGGGTGAAACAGCGCTTGAAGCTAGAAAGGAAGAAGATGACAACTAAAGGGTTAGAGAAAGGGACAGGAAACTCTAGTAGCGGCCTTTTATTGGGGAGAAAGGGAAAGAGAGGTCGAAAGTCGCTGAGTCTCGAGGAGAAGGGATGGACACCTTTGCCGGGAGTACCCTTAGAGTGCAGCCCTTGCAGCTTGGCACATTTCTTCTCAATGTCCCGAGTAGCGTTCTTGCTCCTAGTAGCGATGCTCTTTGTTCCTAGTAGCGTCCTTGCTCCTAGTAGTAAGGCCAGGAGCCCCTAGTAACGTCCTTGCTCCTAGTAGCGATGCCCTTTGCTCCATTTTGCTCCTAGTAGCATCCGATCGCTCCTGCAGTCCGAAGTTAGCGGTTCGAGCCGACGAGGCCATGCATTTTTAGACAGCGAGGCAGGCGACGGAATCTTACATCTTTCTACCGAATCTGTTGTTTGCGCAGAATTGGTTGGTGCTATGCCTCCCATATGCACGGAGCTTGGAGTTCGTCATGAACGACGGAGAACGCGGCTGGGACAAGGCAGGGCGCAGGGAAAGAGAAGAACACAGATCAAACTGAGAAGGGAGGGCGCTTGTCAAACTGAGAGACAACAAGTACCTTCTATTTCAAAACAAAATCCTACTGACACTACTGCTTGTGGTCGAGGCTCCCGGAGGTAAGAATTACAAGGCGCGCTGTTCAGTTTGCATCGTAAATCGTAACGACTCGTAACTGCTGTCAGTTTATCAAGCGCCTTTGATTCGAGGTGATGACGCCAGGAGTGGCAGTTTCTTCAACATCATAGCGAGGTTGCTTTGTTTGTTGATAATGTGAAAAAGACGCCAAAGGCAAAGACAAAGACATTCAACTCATATCGGATTGCGCATCCAGTGTTATCCGGTGTTGTTTCTTTCTTGATTTCTATGTCTTGTCCATGTCGATCTAGGAGTCTTCTTGCTAACACATGGACATCTTGATCCTGTAGCACTTCCACCACAAGAACCCACCGGCTTGGCTGCAGAGGCGACAGGGAGTGGGAGCGGGAGCAAACCATCAAAGACAAGCCAGTAGCGATGGCCAAGCAGCGATGGTGAGTAGGGCCACTGTTAGAAAGAGACAATTCTCATGTCTGCCATTTCTTTGCTCCGTGTTCCGAAGGTCGAGTTCCGGAAAATGATAGAAAGAGAAGAGCTAATTTAGAACTAATTTAAATTAGAAGAGTTAATTTTGATTAAAATCTATGTTTAATCTAAGTCTAAGTTAACTTAGTTTTTTCTTGTTACTAGCTGCTTGCTCCTAGTAGTACGCTGGCCCCTAGTAGCGTCCTTTGCTCCTAGTAGCGAGGCCAGGAGCCCCTACTAGTAGCGTCTGATGACTTCGAATCTTTGCGAATTCGGAAGAAGGGGTTCTTCCGAGCTTGACTTCCGACTTCCTTTTTCCTAGCCACCTAGTAGCTTGCTTTTAGACTGTAGCTCTTCTCCATCTTAAGGCCCTCGCTAGCCACTTTGCTTCGAGGCGATGGATGGAAGTCGAGTTCGACTTCTTTGGGAGTTCCTCAACGGAAAAAGAAAGAGATCGGAATCGGTTGGAGATCGTTTGTCTCATATCATCGAATTCAGATTCACAACAGAGCTTGTGGAGATCTCACCATCTTGGAGTTCATGAACCCAAGAAACATCAAGGAGCAAATAGCGCAAATAGCTACTAGTAGCGATGCACTTGTTACTAGTAGCATTCTTGTTCCTAGTAGCGATGCCAGGAGCCCCTAGTAGCATCCCCGTTCCTAGTATGTTTTTAAGACCTTGGCATGTTGCTCCCCGGGCTAAACCCCTCGCTTACCCAACATGTTGAACACACAGCACCTTCCGGTGAGTCTCGCGGCCAGTCTCTCGGCTAGGAGCTAACACAGATTCTAGCCAGCACAGCAAGACTTACGTATTTTGCAAAATATGTTCTCAAAGTATTGTAAGCAACAGACCTCTAGAGATTCTCAACATCTAGAGCTCCAGATCGAACACTTCCATCTTTGTTTTTTCATCACCCACTTGAGAAGCTCAGTATCACACGTTGAAGCCTGTCACAATAGGCCAATAGGCGGTGCAGTGCATATGTACGGAATCCGAAACGAATGCAAAAGAAACATGTTAACAAATTCTGTTGACATGCCCTTTGTTACTAGTAGTAAGGCACTAGTTACTACTAGTAAGGCACTTGTTACTAGTAGCGATGCACCTGTTACTACTAGCGTGGCACTTGTTACTACTAATGCGATCGGACGCTACTAGTAACAAGTGCATCGCTAGTAGTAACAAGTGCCTTACTAGTAGTAACAAGAAGCTATTAGTTAATTTAATTGCTTTTCAGAAAAGAACAATTCGGACTTACCGAGGCCTCCAGCACTGGGGGACGGCGAGGCTCCCGTGAAAAGCTACCGGGTCTACCGCAACGGCCGTGTGATTGGGACCACAGAAACGGCGCAGCTCGGACCGAAGAAACAAACTCTCTTGGACTTGTTACTAATAGCTTCTTGTTTCTACTAGCTTCTTGTTACTAGTAGTAAGGCACTTGTTACTACTAGTGATGCACTTGTTTCTAGTAGCGTTCTTGTTACTCTTGGACGGTTGGATTTCGCCCTCTTCTTAGAGAAAAAGTAGCGATGCCAGGAGCCCCGTTCGTCCGATCGCTCCTAGTTCTTCCTGGTGTTTCTTTAATTTGTTATCACGCATTTAGCTCATTGAGCAGAGCGAACCGAGGAAATGTCAATACGAGGATATCAATTTGTTTGCCTTCACGGACTATGAATATTCCGTCTCAGCCTGGGGGCCCGGGACTGCGGTGCTCATACGCTTTGAAAAGAGACCAAATCCTGTTGAAAAGGAAAGACGACATGTAAAGAACAGTCATGTTTTTTTAAAGAAAGAAAGAGAACACACACATCTTCTTGTTCTTAAAAAACTTCTTTAAAAGGCTTCACCCCGATGTGTGTGTTTATCTTCGAGGCCCTGAATCGACAAGAAGTGGCGGGACCACTGAGCGACGCCGTGAATGTGAAGACGAAGCTCCCGGGTTTGCCCTCCGCACCACGGTCCGGGGCGACAGTTTCCAAAAGGAAGAGAAAGGAGTTAAGACATGTTTTCTGTTTCTTAGTTTAATGAATAATTCATAGAAAAATTCAGAGAAACACCGCGTTTTCCTTTTTTTTGTAACTTCAACAGCATACAGCGCACTGCCAGGAACTTGCGGGCCAACACTCGGAAAGAGGAGAAATGGGTCGAGAACGTGTGTTTTGTCATGTTTGTTTGTTCTGCATGTGGACCGCATACGACCATGGTATGACCATAGTTATGACCATTTATCAACGAAGGATTTTGGAAGAAATGATGTGAAGGATGGAAGGCTTGTGGTGCAGCTGGAATGGGAGCCACCGGCCGACTGTGGAGGTGCACCTGTGGCCTCCTACGAGGTCCGAAAGTGCAGTTTACGAAAAGGTCAAGCAGTTTCTGTTGCCATATGTCTTTTGTTTCTAACTTTGGACGCAAACTTTTTTTTTCTCGAAAAGGTCGGTGACACCGTGCTCTCTTGTGCTCCACACACGTGAAGCATACCACAAGAAAGCATGCCATTACATGTGGTGTTCTTTCGCTGTGCAGATCATCCGTGACGGCACGGTCATCGATATTTTTGATGCAGCTCGGCTTTGCTCGTTTCCTTAAAGACCGACTAGAGACTATTTACTTAAGCTTAGCTATACGCTTACTACCTCGTACCCACCCCAAGGACTATAATAGTAAATGATGTTTTAGCAAACTAGTCCTCACCTCCCCAGGTTTTTTCGCGTCTATGGAATACATGAAAGATGTAGGGTTCGCAGATCTTCACGAAGTTGCAGAACCTCCGTAGGCGAGTGGTACTGAACTTTATCACCGACTCTGAAATCTGAGGTTCCGAATGCCCGCATCCGTTCAGAAGCAGAGGCACAAAAACACCAAGAGAGGGACCGGCTGAAAAGGATTAGAATTGATGTGAATGTCTAGAAATCCTATTTCTAAATTCAGATGTTGGAGGCCATCGCTAGTAGGTTGGAGGCCATCGCTATTAGGGAGGAGGCCGTCGCTAGTAGAAACAAAGAGAGTAAGGCACTTGTTACTACTAGCGATGCACCTGTTACTAGTAGCGATGCCCTTGTTTCTGAGAATTTCACCGTTTGAGGCCGCCAAGCCAATGGACCCAGAGGTGCAAGAAAATGCTGTCGAGTTTCGAGAGTGTCTTTGTGCGAATAATGTAAAAAATGTAAAGAAGACGTGTTGAGAAGTCAAAAAGAATGTAAGACTGTAAGACGTGTTGTTGTTTACTTCTTTCTTGTCGAGAGCTTGTCAGTGCCTCAGGCAGCAGCTGCACGGCGCTGGATCCGTGGAAGGCTCAGATGGTGTTCGATACGAACCAGAAAACCGAAAACCGGAGTTGCATTGATGTTACTTCAAGAAGCTAGTAGTAACAAGTGCATCGCTAGTAGTAACAAGTGCCTTACTAGTAGTAACAAGAAGCTATAGTAGAAAGAATAAGCTAATAGCTTCTTGTTCCTAGTAGTAATGCCAGGAGCACTCCTAGTAGCGTCCGATCGCTCCTAGTAGCGATGCCCTTTGCTTCTAGTAGCTTCTTGTTGGTCCACGATGTTACTCCAGTTTGGTCCCTTTTCAGGTTCGTTCCATGTTCTTCGGTGAATCCAAAGGTGTGGGCGAGTTCGAGAAGCCAAGGTTCAACGTGCTCATACTCCAGTTTGAGTTGGTTCAAGGAGAGATTCCAGTTTGAAATGGTTGTTTTCCGGCCTCCAACCTATTAGCGGCAAAAGATCTTTTTCCAGGTTCTTTCATGCTGTGCTACCTGCCAGTGCCTCGCTTCTAGGAACAAGTGCCTTACTAGTAGTGTTATTTCATGCTGTGCTACCTGCTTGTATCGTCTTTTCGAACGTGGCGAAAGGATGCGATGCTTTGGATCGACTCGAGTATCGAGTTGGGCGGCTGCTACTCATATCAGGCCAGGTTGGCTTATGCTCGTGCCCAAAGTCAAAGCACTGGCGAGAACGATGAGAATGTAAGAAAACGATAACAGTTATATAGATATATACATTCTTTATAATAAGAAAGACGAAGGACGCTTCTTTGCAAAAGACGTGCGAAAGAAGCTAGAGTTGTTCTCGATTATTAGAAGCTTCATGTGCTTCCAACACAGCAACCGTTTAAAACAAGTGGGGGAGAGAACCCAGCAAAGCGACAAACACACGAAATCGTCACAGTGTTGGCTCCACAAAACAATCAACTCCCTAAGCACAGGGGCTCCTGGCCGTACTACTAGGAGCAAGGGCATCGCTACTAGGAGCAAGGACGCTACTAGGGGCTCCTGGCCGTACTACTAGGAGCAAGGACGCTACTAGGGCCGACTCCCAATTGCTGCACGTTTCAGCTCGCTTCCAGAACTTAAGCGGAGATGCTTGTGTGAAACAGTGGAACCAAAGGAGTCTGGGCTTGAGCTTTCCGTCGTTCCGAGTAGCTTCCCTATTTACCCCTTTCCACTACACGACTAGCGTCTACTACTTAGAGCGACTTGAGTTATCTTAAGCATCACCTCACCTTACCCCCCCGGCGTTTGTAGAGATGCGTCGCTACTAGGAACAGGTGCCACGCTAGTAGTAACAGGTGCCTTACTAGTAGAAACAAGAAGCTACTAGGAACAAGTGCCACGCTAGTAGTAACAAGTGCCTTACTAGTAGTAACAAGAAGCTACTAGGAACAAGTGCCACGCTAGTAGTAACAAGTGCCTTACTAGTAGTAACAAGAAGCTACTA